GGCGCTAATCCAATCACCGAACGCGCACGGCCAGTCTCGACGTAAGGCCTTCTCGCTAGCCCTAGTACGCAGACGAGAACAAGTCAGGATACAGGTAACAGATCACGAGTCTGAGACTCGTGATCTGATTGGCTATTGAAACCTGACTGTGCCCGTTCACTTACAGCGCACAGGGGCCTGCTCTGTTTAATCTGAAGGCCCAGAGCAAATGTAATTTACCTGGCAATACAGCTAGCTGAAATATGATTGGTTAAAAACTCTACCATAATAAATAACTTATTTATCGAGTGGCTTTCAATGTTATTTAAAATAACATTGAAAGCCACTCAACTAAGTGGAAATAATGCAACGTAAAGAATACAGAGAATAATTTTGTTTACATATTTATGAAAATAAAATAACAAATTATAAAATAACATAAAATACATAAAAGTAAATTTACTTTTCTGAGAATGTTTAGGCCAGCAGAGAAGGCCTTGCTGGCCCTCAGGGTCCGCCACTGACTTTGGGAGTGTCAATCATGTAGCTAATGACTTCACTGAGATTTGGAGTATGTCAATGGTCTGTGGGAGCCAGCATTGCTCATGTTTGGCGGGGCTTCAAATAATTATTTCCCTCAATAAAATGTAAATTAATTATTTTTAATCCTTTCAGGGACAGCGGTCACTGCAGTGGACAGCTTCTCATGTTATCAGGTTACAGGTTATCATTTTTGGTGGACAAAAGGGTTAATTTCATGTAATTTTCTCAATGTTTTTTTTAAATTATCCTTCACTGTTAAAATATAGCTGCCCTAAAAACCAGAGACTTTTCATTTACTGTATTTCTTATGATGAAAACAAAATTAAAGGGTAGCAAATACCTATTTCATTAGCTGTATGTTTAATTTTTCCCAACATTCACTCACCCTGTCGTGATCATACAGCATATCAGCATAGCTTGACCTGGAAGGGAAAAAGAAGTATAGTGCAATAATCTAATTGTATCAAGTATTTGTGACATTTTTGATGCATTTTTATACTTTAGAAAACATTTATGTCTGAATTTTGGGGTGACTTGGTATGGATTAGGGCATCTACATGGAAAACACGTCTCTACTTACAAAATTGTCTCGTTAAGAAATTTCTTCCAGAACCAATTAATTTCGTGAATAGAGCTACCACTGTATATCAAACAATGTGTAAAGTATTCTTGTATTGTTTCAGAAATCAGGAAGATATTTCCACTGACTGATTACAAACGCTACCATAAAGACTGATGTACAAAAATACAAAAAGCACACCTCAATTTAGCCCTCAATGATTTTGTCAAGTACTTTCATTTGTATTATTAGCTCAGGCTTAGCTAATACAACATTTGTTTTGTTTTGTTTTTTTCAGTTTTACGACAATCTAAAGAAGGTAATGGTTGAGGCCATTGTTCGAATAAACCAGCCCAAAACGGAATCGAAGTATGTTTCCTTGGAACGTCGTTAACTCGCTGTCTGACGTCACATTGTCCCATCACCTCAAATCTCACCTACTTCTGTTTAGGACAATACAGTTTGCTACAATGCATAGAACAGTTGGGAACTGTTAATTATCGAAAAAAGAATACAAACCTAAAAGAAAAGGTGTCAAACCACAAGTCACAACATGGATCACTGCACTGCCCCAAAGTCTTCCTGAATCAACATTCCTGACTTTTCGTGACTTTTAAGAAACAGGGCTCAAGACTGCGGCTGAAATGTTTGCTAATGCTTAATTTGTGACTTTGAAGAAACAGGGCTCAAGACTGCGGCTGAAATGTTTGCCAATGCTTAATTTTTTTAAACATGTGCAAGGAAGAATTTTATCTGGTTGGATTTTTGTGCGAGTGCTTACTGTATGTTTTAATGCTGCTTCCAACACACGTACTGCTTCTCAATAAAATGAAATGGGCGAGTGATCCTGACCAAAAAAACAAAAAAGTCATTTCCCGCAAAAGGTGAAGCTCCACTTACATGATCTTATATAAATCCTTATTTATGTACAATGAAAAAAAAACACTCAAGTTCTTTGGGCATGTACCTGATTCATATGACAGCAGATATGCAGACAATCTGAACGTGCAATTTTAAATATTATTGTTACATTCATCATTTGGGTAAAATAGCTTAGCTCATTGCTTTTTCAGTCAATAAAGTTAGCAACAGATTGGCACATTCGGAGTTGTCGGTCCAAGCAACCTCACACTGCAATCTAAGTTGTCTTGCTCACAAAACACTACAACCACATTCGTTGCGCATTAAGGACGACTTTTAAATTAACACTGCACATTAAACGTAGCTATACCTGTTATTTGGATAATGTTATCCTGATGTGTTTTTTTCTACATGTGGAAAAATTCTTGCCTGGGCCACGTTGTGATGCGAGCTGAGTGCTACCTGGCTATCTCCTGGTGATAGTCGAACTCTTCGGTCTCCTCCACGCAGTCAAAACCTCCAAAGGACGATTTGGCTCGTCCACAGAATGCCTTCATTTCCGCCACTATTACTTCGACAATTAGCGACTTTGCTTGAAAAGCAAAACTCAAGTCACAATTTTCCTCTCAAGTCAAAGTCCACAAAACCCAGCATTACCACCACGGGAGCTGCCATTGTTATGATCGTCATCATGAGCATCATCACACAATCGTCAGAACATAAGTAGACAACACGCCCCTTTTGACACGCGTGCCTACTTCGACAGTAAGCTTGTAGGGCCAAAGGCGTCGGCGCATAAGTAGCATGAGAACGGCAAGGAATCCGAAAGAACACGCTTTCTAGTTCAGTGTACTGCAAAAGGTTGAGCACAGTGCCATACAATTACAGTATGACAAGGGAACCGAGAATAACCTCCGAATGGTTAGATGTTACCAATGTGTGATTTTTCTGTCACTATAGCACATGCTTCAGTATTCACAAATAATTAAACCTAATAAAAAAAATCAGTTGAGAAATTGGCACGTTACAACGTATTGTCAATGCCCAAATTTTATTGAATTTAACTGGGAACGTCGCCCCTGCCAACATGGCCGCTATCTAGGCATGTCGATTAGCAGAGCGACAGCAGAGAAAAAAACGGCTGCATTCGAAGAATGTGGCAAGTCGGACTTCTCCGACCTCAAAAGTGCACTTGGACCCCGACTTCAATCTGACATCACTCGACAATGGAGATCCCCGTGGAGTCACTACCCGTGAATGGCAAAACATATTTTACATGATTAAAAACATACTGTATATTTCAATTTATTTATTATTACAATAATTTTATTATTTTACATTGCTTCACGTTACACAATGTGTTTTGAACTGAGCGTTTGCAGATCTACCGTTATCTCCCAGGATTAAGATATTTGGTGAAATGAATGAAATGCTTTGAAGAGCAGATATTCCTTTATTTATAAAAATGAAGGACGTTATGACTAAGGTATGCCAGAGGTCTAATATGCTGGGATGAAACACCGCAAATTTTCAACGTAACTGTAGATGAAGAAATCGCTAATTATATTAAACGGGCTGCGCCTCGCCGACAAAAAGCTGCCATGTTTGGTCGGCAACTTTCTGATATGGAAAACCTAAGGAGTCAAACTTCAAAAACGTATACAGTACCTGTGTCCTCACATGATAATAATAATAATAATAATAATAATAATAATAATAATAATACATTACATTTATAAGCGCCTTTCAAAACACTCAAGGACACTTTACAATCAAAACAAGAACAATAAAACCACAGATAAAATTATAAATAATAAAAGGAGAGATGAATTTAAACTGAATTTAGCGACTCGAAATAGTTGACGCCGGCAACATCGCCACCACAAGGAGCACCAGCTGACCCAGCCAGGCCGGCCAACACGCCGTGGTCCGCGGATTGGCCGCTATTTCTGCCGCTGTCTCATTGTGGCCGACGGGAGAACGACCCGAGGAGGGGATGACCCTGGAGCCATCGAGGTGGAAGCCCCGACGAGATACACAGCGGAC